CGCGTAGGCTTGAGTTGGTCGACGACAACATTTTTTTAATTGACTGTATATGGGATCGATATACCGCCCAACTTTGTAAAAAAAAGTTACATGGAAAAAAAGATAAATATCAGTCGGAAAAAATCAGTTTTTTCACGGATTGGAAACAGCAAGAAAACAAACGTTGTTGCAGCATGTTAGCATGGCTGAGAGCACATGCATGGTGGTCAGATCCCTGCAAACATTTATCAGTTAGACGACATAAAAGCGCGCGCCCATGGCGATATAGACGCACGAGAGAAAATATAAAGAACGATTAACAAGCGAAAGAGTGGCACGAGGCGAAGCCGAGTGACACTCTAGCTTGTTAAGAGTTCTTTATATTTTCTCAAGTGCGTCTATATCGCCATGGGCGAGCGCTTTTTTGTCGTCTAACTGATTTATAATATGACCAAAAATCTACCGTGCGACCCATGGGCAAATAGTTCATAGGCATTTCAGCCAATCAGAGCGTGAGTTATATCACCCATCCCGCTCGTGCGCGCGCTATTGACGCCATCGGGTTTGAAAATTTAGAGAAAAAAGGCAAGCGTCCGTTGAGATCAGCGTGCGCGAGCGTGCAGCCCATGGGGAAATAGTTCATTGGTTTTTGGCCAATCAGAGCGCGCGTAATAATCTAGTTATATTATAAAGCCTATTTCCCTATTGTTTTGGAGGGAGAAAAAATAGGCTCTGCCGATGTAGGACGTTATACTTATCGCGCATGCGTGGCTTAGCAAGGCTGTCATGATTTTGACAGCCGCTCTCTTCGAATAACGTGTGGCGCCAAACTAGCTCATGCGCATTAAGTGTACCCGACCAAAAACCGGTTTTAAAATTGGTTCAGTCGTACGTTCACAACCGTGGACAGGGGTATATCAAAGGAAACGTCCTACAGCGGCAGAGCCAATTTTTCTCCCTAACAAAACGAAAGAAAAATAGGCTCTGCTAAGTGTTTTGGTCGCTATTTGGAGCCGATATCTTAACAAGATTTAATGACTTTTCAAAGCTGATCGAGTTCTTTCTGACTGACAGCACACCGGGTGGTCAGTGTTTGGCCACTATTTGGACCAGAAATTTTAACGAGATTCCGCGAAGACTTGCCTAAGATGATTGAAATACATTAATTGAAACAAAGCTGAAGTCACTCTTTGAAACTTTATTACAATTAATTTGATATATCAAATATGGTTCATAGATAAATTTTACTCACATAAGGATTCAGTATAGAATTTTGGATAAAAATCTTATTCATTGGAAACTTTTTGTCTTCATAAATTATAAATTTTGTTCTAGAACTTTTATTCTTTACCCAGAACGTATAGCGCTAGTTTTTGTGATAAAAGCTATTATCACAACTATGCCAACCAGATATACAGATAAAAAAGGTTGAATACTGAATACTGACTACTGAATAGTGCATTCCAAGACCGAATTGCATTGTGGGTCATATTGACATTGTCTAACAAAGGCTTAATAATAATGATCTATTCTATTTTTAGTGTATTCCATCTGAAACAATATACTAACTACATGTAGAGAGTTAATTGCTGTATATTTACTTTTTATTTCAAATTTATGAGACCCACAATGCCCTTTGGTCTTGGAATGCACTATTCAACCTATTTTTGAATAGATGTATTCGCTGATGAACCAAAGCAACTTGGCAAGAACGATAGTGATAATGGTTGGCAAATTAACATTATATCACAATGCGTATGTTTGTAAACACCAATTCTAATGATAAATGGAATAAAACTAGATTTTATTTCCAATGGATGTGATTAATATGGTTTTTTTTTCTTTTGATGAAAGTTTGTGAAGGAAAACAAGATTGATTATCAGTTTCCCCGCGCCCAAACTTCCATACGGGGACCATTTAATAAAATTCGTGTTTGAATTTCTACATCACATAAACACGAATATATTGACATTAGTGCATGCACAACGATTTTCTTGATTTTCAATCTACTAGACCTGGAATTAATTTATTATTTTTTAACTTGATTTATTAACAATTATTAAATTAAATCTGATTCCTAAATTTTCATGATTTTTTTTTTTTTACACTAGAAAATAAATTGTAAATTTGCTTTGTTATTTTCTGCCCCAGGAGACTAAAATCCCCTAAAAATCCCAAACCCCTTATAAACTAGAAGTGTAGATGTGATCAACTAGTGGAATTCAAGTACTGAAGAATATTTTAAAGAAAAATAGTTATTGAACTAGGCTTCCTACTTCAGGTAACAGCGTTATTACACAGGAAACTCGCTATTAGATTTGTCTAAAAAGTATGTGTGGTTATTACACAGTAAACCCGCCATTAGATATTTGGCTAAAAAGTGTGTGGTTATTACACAGGAAACCCGCCATTAGATATTTGGCTAAAACGTGTGTGGTTATTACACAGGAAACTCGCCATTAGATATTTGGCTAAAAAGTATGTGTGGTCTTGATTGTTCAGTGAATCTCTGAAAAACGTATCTTCGTAGAAAAACTAGTTGTTTAGCAGTACGCATTATAAAAATATCCGAGTCCTCGGCTACAAGGGCGGAGCGAGATCTCAATTACAGGTGGGAGATGTACCATTTTCCCGCCAAATCGAAAGGAATCTGTCATGAATGAATTACTTACATTTTGGTGCCAAGAGCAAACTTTTGGCACGTGTCCCCGTCCCCCCTCCCTACTCCAGTGCTCAGCTTTACACGATTGATTCATATGTGTAAGAGGATCTAGCTCTCTTTTTGACGACTAGTTCGATATCCTTGTTACCCTTGGTGTGTTTCTTGGACGCCTTCCATATCAGAGGACGCAGTCCGTTGATAATGACAAATAACAACCCCAACACGTCGGCTACTACAGCCATCCACAGGGTGACATACCCACTTAGAGCTACGATCACGATGATTATTTTCAAGAGTACGGAAAAGACGATATTTTGCTTCACGATCAGGCTGCAGAACTTAGCAAGACAGATGAGCTCAGGGATCTTTGCAAGGTTGTTACTCATCAATGCAACGTCTGCAGCCTCCACAGCTAGGGCAGTGCCCCCTGCACCCATAGCTATTCCGACATTCGCCGCGGCCAGAGCAGGGCCATCGTTGACTCCATCGCCAACCATCCCCACCATAAGCTGTGGATCACGTGATCTTCTGCAAAGCTTGCATGATTGGCATTTATATTCAGGTGGGTCAGTGGAGCCTGGAGCCATCTTACTTTTTTGCTTTTCTTGAATCCATTCAAGTTTGACATGGGGTTTCATCTCAGAGACGCATTCATCTAGTCCAAGGTTCCTGCTCACGGCATCTGCTGTCCGTGAGTTGTCTCCAGTGATCATGGAGGTCTGAACACCGATGTTCCTCAGCCAATCGAGGCTGGTCGACGTGTTGGGGCGTATGGCGTCAGCTAGAGCTATCATGAGGGACAATCTTTCATTGACGCAAACGAACACCACAGTCTTACTCTCGCTTGACCACAGCTCATACTTCTCTGCCATTGCTTCAGTTAGAGATGCCCCGCATTGATCAACCATTTCCTTATTACCAACGCGGACAAGTTTACCTTCAATAAGCCCTGATATTCCTTTTCCTTCGTACATCTTGAATTGAGTAACCTCGGGCAAACTTATCACCTGGTTCTTAACCATTTCTGCGACGCAACCAGAAAATTCGTTGACTATTGCTGCAGCAATTGGATGCACGGATTTGCTCTCCAACCCCGCTGCTAAGCGTAGGACATCCCTCTCATTCTCGCCATAAGCACATTCCATATTCATCACCTGAAATTTCCCTTCTGTCAATGTTCCAGTTTTGTCGAACGCAAGTACCTCAATCTTGGACAACGTCTCCAGGTGTTCGCCTCCTTTGACCAACGCTCCTTTCCGCGCAGCCGCAGTAATGCTACATACGACAGCAATCGGGGTGGCCATGACCAGAGCGCAGGGGCAAGCAATGACTAAAATGACCAATGCCCTCTGACCCCATTCTCGGATTTCCTCTAAATAATTGCCAACACCTGCAGCACCCAAAATAGCGGGTACGACAACTACTAGAGCAGCAACCACCACGACGAGTGGAGTATAGTATTTGGCAAAACGATTAATGGTCGCTTCTGTCTTTGAAGAGCTTGATTGTGCTTCTTGGACCATCTGCGCGACCTTCGAAACCGTTGAAGTGGAAGAATCTGAAGTAGTTTCAACTTCAATGTAGCCATTTTGGTTGACCGTACCGCTGTAAACCTTAGAGAAAGCAGTTTTTTCTACGGGCAAAGATTCTCCAGTGATTGAACTTTCGTCGACTGCTGCTTTCCCCTTGGCTACCACTCCATCAAGAGGTATGAGTTCTCCTGGCCTTACTGCTATCAGTGTTCCTATAGCGACACTTTCAATGGGTACACTTTTTCCCGTTTCGACCAGCACCGCGACTTCTGGTCTTTTGAGCATGAGCCTGGAGATTGTCCGCTGTACTCGAAACATGCAGAATTCTTGTAGAGCATCGGCGAAGGCAAAAACGTAGACAACAGTAGCTCCCTCCACCCATTCACTAATAGCCAAGGTGCCTATAATAGCAATTAACATTAAGATGTTGATGTCAACTTTTCGGTTCTTGGCCGAAAAGAAGGCGTGTTTCAATATAGGAGCACCTCCAAAGATAATCTCAGCGATAGCAACCCACATATACCATGGCTGTTTGAGAAAATGTCCCGCAATAGCGGTAATGAGAAGACAGGTTTGTATGAGTAGATAAATGCAGCGAAGTTTAAAAAGACATGGAATTTGATCGTTATCTTTATCGTGATGCGCACCCATTTCCATAACGGTTGCTCCAAGGTGGACTCGGTTCAGGCTCTCGACGAGTTCTGTCGGTGACGTCACATCCGGGTCATGACGTACGTGCACCACTCGTCCAATGACGTTCACAGCAACATTTTCTACCCCTTGCAAAGGCTTTAGGCATTCTTGAACTAGCTGAGCCTCCATAGCACAACAGATATTTTGTACGCGTAGTTTGGTGGTGTGTCGTCGAGGAAGAGTTCCTTTGGTTTTTACTTCTAAGCTAGAGCTTTCAGGATCCGGTTGCTTTTCGCACGGTTCTATGAGCAACACCGTCTCCTCGTTGACTTTGCAACAACTCACTTCGACTTCTGTCGACACACATTCCCCTTCGTCTTCCTTTTCACAGCATTTGTCATCTTTGTCAGTACAGCAGGTTGCTCGGCTCTTTTCTCCACTCGGTTCGAGAAATAAAACAGTTTCTTCTTTATCCTTGCAGCAACTTACTTCAACTTTGGTGGAACCACTATCTCCTTTATTCTTATTCTTTTCACAGCATTTGTCATCCTGATCAGCGCAAAGAGTTGCTTGGCTCTTTTCTTGTAACGATAATGACTGAAATTTAGCATTTCCCCCTCCACTGCAGCTAGGTTCATTTTTGAACGAACAGCAAGGTTTCTTTCCAGGGTTTTCAACTGCAGCACAACTCGATGTCGTGCCACAAGGCTTCTTTTCTTGAGACGAGCAACAAGAATTATCTGTTTTTCCTCCTTCTTCTGATACTTTTCTTTCAGAACATCTCTCCACACTAGAACTTTTCATAGCACTGAGTTGCTTTTTTGAAAGACAACATTGCTCTTCAAGACAACGCTTTTTCTTTTCTTTTTCTCTAAGGAGATAATTTTGCGAGCATCTTTCTTCACAAGTATCAGGTTGTACTTTTGGAGCACAACATTCGCTCTCCTTAACTACATCTTGTTCACAACATGGATTTTTACCAACATTCTCACCTTTGCAGCAAGAAGGCGCCTCTATACCAGCAACTTGGTCGTAACATTGACCTTCCTCACCTAAACATGAAAATTGCAGTAATATTTCAATTTTTTTTCCGATACCCTAAGAAAACCACCTGGGCTGACCAAAGTCAGGGGTGCTTACCATTTAAAACCAATCCATCCGGTTGGAAATTTGTTTGCTAATGCCCCGCTATGTAAACGCTATGTAATAATGACCGCTTGTGATAATGACCGAATGTTTTGTTTCATTGCAGACGCATGCGGCGTAAAACTATGACTGAGAACCAATATTTCGTGGGGGAGCACATACCCCCCTGGTTCCGCCGCCCCTGTTGTTGAGAGCTCTCACCTCTACGTTACCCCTGCTTCTCTGAGGAATCTAAAAATATATTATCCATGTTTCAACTTACCATCATTTCTAGTGCCATCTTGAAGAACAGTATCGCCTTTGGCTAAGTCAGGGTTAACCTGGTCTTTATTGACATCTTTTTCTTTGATAGACTCATTGTCATGGAAACAACCTTTACATACACAGTCTATTTGAGGAAGGTTGTCAGGGCAACAGTCGCAGTGAAATTCTTGACACATGTCTCAAGTGATGGCTAAAACAAAAGGTCGAGACGAGATTAACCACAGGGAGCCCAAACGTAAAAAAAATCGTAGATACATTCACACCTTATAAGGAAAAAAATAAACTAAAAATCTAACTAAATACTCAAACATTGATTCTGAATATTTCAATTTCCCTGTTGTTTAGTCTTAGCCTCTACTTTGTGCAGAATATTCATTTGTTGCAGTAAAGGTCTGTGGAATTCAAAGTTTTTGTTTTGTTCAAGTTATGCATTCTTTGCTTTACCGTTGGCTGTTGATATTTGTAATTATTCTGACTCTAAAATGAGGCCAATCCTGAATAAATGAGTATTCTACTAAAATGAAAAGCAGTTATTTGAAAACGTAATACGAGGAATTTCTTAATTATTATCCCTTCATCACCAGAGTTGCATGTTTTTATTGCTTTCCTGTGGTTTTGTTTTGATAAAAATACCAAACTTGATATCAAAAACATAGGAAAAGCAATATCTATGGCACTCTTAGAGAGCTTTATCTTTCCTTTTCTAAAGACAAACAGGATGTTATAACCAGATAACCCGCGCCCTAACCTAGTAGTTAGATAAGAGTTCAAGGTACTTTAAAACTATCCTGCAGGGTACAAGATCCTTCTAGTACCTAGGGTAAGTAAAGATAATACAGATAAATGTTTTCATTTTCAATAAAAAAGCATTTACGTGAGCTAATATCACTAGTTACTGACTGACTCATCTTACAGATGGATTCAATCCATAGATGTGTCTGTCTGTGTGTCTGGACAGCTGCCTGACTGACTACCCTCCTAATACAGCCCCTATTACAGCTACTGTTTGTTAAAGAAGAGAACTACTTACTGACTTACATCTTACAGATGGACTAACTTCAGATGTGTCTGTCTGTCTAGATCACAGCTGACTGACTGGGTATACCTCAGCTACAACCCTCATTCTCCAGTTCAGGCTTATGATCCTGGTATTCCTTCTTCTTGCAAATAATACTATGTAGCACAGAGTTACATTACTATAACTAATAACAAATGTCGTTATCAAATACACTCAATTATAAACTACTATCAAATTGAGCTGATCCTCGCAGTATATCAAGCAACTTATGCAGCTGCAAATTATTGGAAAACTCAGAAAAAATTCTATAAACAACTAGTTGGCTATATCAAGGGCTATGAACAGCTCATCAGGCCAGTAGCTTAAATACTTACAACATATGAAGGATTTTTACTAATACAATGGAATTGTAGAATATTACAGAACTATTTCACAAGTTGATAAAGTATGATCTCTACTGTTAACTGCAGAACTCAATTTTGCATCAATTTTACATTACCCATTTAACTTTATTAACTTGCCTAGGGTTTGAGCTGTGGTATCGATGGAATGAAGTTCTGCTGAGGTTGACGATGTGCACCACAAACCTTTGTCTTCAAGCACAAAATCATTCAGCTAAAGCAAAATGCTGCTATTTAAAGTTTTCTCCAAAGGGGGTAATATTATATCAGTGCCAATTCTAAGGAAGTCTTTCTTCAAATATCACTGATAGTACTGAACTCTTAGCCTTGCTGCCCTCCAAATTTTTCATGGGAAACTAGTGTTTGATAAGATTCAGGAATGCGTCTTGACAAGGCTGTCAAAAGTTATCCATTGTAGAACCCTAAAACTATGTAAATATTAGCCAAATGCCAAAAACTGTCGACTATGTTAAAACGTGTGCAGTTGTTTTGAAGGGTTAACTTTGGAATGACAGCTGTCAATTGTTGGTAAAATAAAATAATATGATTCATTTATATAGCATAAATTCTATGACAGTCAAAATATGCTTCACAATATATCCAGTACAAAGAAAGAAAAAACAGACAAAATAGAAATATAGCCAAAACTAGAAAGAACAAGGAAGAAAAGAAAAGTTAAAATAAAGAAAAAATTATGGATTAATCAATAAATAAGCCTGTCTGAATAAGAAGGTTTTACATGTAAGCTCATCCTTAAAAATGCCTATAGAGCTACTGCTTCTTATATCTCTAATTATAATCAGAATACTAAATATGCTTTAACAAATGAATATTTTCTCATAAGATTTGTAACCTTGTAACCGAGGGCAAGAAAGGTGAGCTCTGATTGGCTGATAGCCAAGGATTTTACGTTTTACTATTTCAAATGGTTTTTGATACCCATAAAAATTGCATTTTTAAGAAACTAGTTTTTGAATTAATGTAAATCAGGTGTGGATTTTCTCACTCCAATGAGCTAGAAATTTATATAATCAAATCGTAAATTTTTCTAAACGAAAATCATGAGGGACAGCAGACAAAACCAAATAATAAATAGGATAAAGGTGATTGTCATGCAAATGCTTTAACAAACAAAGTGTTGTGCAAGTTTCAATAAGATTTTGAGCAACATCTTCAAGAAAGCTTGTTTTTAGTATATTACTAGTACTGACCCCTACTCCATCAAAGAGCAGAAAAATCATATCCTATCTTTGACTCTCACTCAGAGCCCAAGAGAAAAAGCAATTAGTTAATTATTGCTGGGTATTTATACATTCATCTTTAAATTATGAATAAACGTGCTTAGAAGAATTATCTAGGACTTATTAGGATTATTTATTAGGATTTAAAGGATGGTTTCCCAGGTTTGATTACTGGACTCAACATCTTGAGATTATTTCTTTCCAATTTGAGGAGTTCTCTCTATGTTGTCCATTTTTCCTCCCTCAGCCAAGAGGTTGGTTCAGAATATCAATAAAATTTGAAGGCCTACCTAAAAGCAGTATTACTGCAAGATATACACACAAAAAACAAAACAAAAATAACTAATATTTTATACTGGAAAAGGAGATATGAGGTTAACCCTATCGAGAATATCTCCTCAGATTGAATTGGAATTTAGAAGTCGATATTTGTGGGGGCAGGAAAACCAGAGAACCCAAAAAAATACCCTTCAAAGCACAGGAGGGAATCAGAAACAATCCTACTCACATGAAACCAAGCCTGGCAGGATTTGAAGCAGCTTATGCCGCCTAGCTTCCCTAAAGATCTAGGAAAACTGAACGTGCAGTATGCAGTGTTTTTTCTCCCATTAAACACTTCTTTGCAAAGCCAGCTTTGTTTGCTAATGGTGTCAGCACTGTGCTCTGGTCTCCCACAGGCCATAAATTTGAACCAATGAGGGCTTGTGTAGCGAAGTGGCTACATATCAAGTGTTTATAACCTTTAAACTCAAACTTCAAAAAAATTATTCCACAACGCAAGGGAAGGCAAATATTAAAAGGCAGTTTTAATCTTATATATCATTTCAAATCTCATGGGCTGTTCATAAGTGTACTTATTATCATGTTTTTTGTTTTTCACGGCTGTTTTACGAAGGACTTTGTGTCTACTCGATCGAGAAAATGTATTGTATTTCCTTTATTCTAGGCTTATTACTTTTAAAGGATTAAAATCCTTAGGCTATCAGTCTATTAACAAAACTAGAGAGGGTTATTTAATATCATTGTTCTTGCCTTTCAAATAAAGCATAAAATAGGCAATAAAATATAAAACGATTTATTTTCAAAGATGATAATAAGTTTATCAAGCAAGCTTCAATTTTTATCCAACATTAATGGCTGAAGATAGCGTAGAATTCCTCAAACCTGACAGGATCTGCCTCAACTTTTAAACGTAGTTAAGGTATCACTTTTCGTTTGAAAAATTGAAACCTTTCGGTAAGCTTTTAAACAAAATAAACAAGGCAAAGCTTATAAGAAAATGGCGCGCGTGGCAAAGGCGCCCCTTAAAATTCCCCAAAATGTTAAGAAAAACTAAACATTTTAAATAAATTAGTGAACAGTTACTAACCTTATTTCATGGATTGATATTCTGAATGAAGATAGAGGTATAAAAGTGTTGCGTAATTATAACTTTTATTTTTTCTATATACACCTCAAGTACAAAGACCTGACGACGAGCAGTCGGTGAAAAAGTGCAGAGGCTCTTCGTATAAGAACGGGATTCCCTCGGGTCAGGATCCCGTTATCCATATTAAGTAAGCAGGAAGTGCGTCATATGTCATATAAGGAAGCGCAAACGGAAGTTATAGCAGCGTCATTATGGATCACGTGATGTATTTCACGAAGTCCATCACATCACATCTGTGTTGGTTTCCGTTCGTATTAAAAATTTGGAGAAAAAATCTCGATTTTACGGCTCATATTCTACCCGATTTTGTACCTAAAGGTGTCTAAGAAAGCTTAGAAGTTATCCAAACAGTTACGATGTCTTTGGAAGATCCATTCTTCGTGGTTAGAGAGTACGTATACTTCATTATTTATCCTTGCTTGTTTCTTTAAATGTCTGTTTACGAACGAAATACATTTCTCTTCTACGATTTATGAGACTAGAATCGATGCTTTATTGTTTACCCACGAATTACAGTTTCTTTAAAGTTTAAATTTACCTTTTATAATTTTTTTTTCTTACTTATATCTTGATATCTGTCGATTAAGTAGCCAAAAAGTATCCACGTATAAAGCTCCTTAAGCTATTCCCCAAACTATGAATTTCTAGACATTTTAGTGTTAATTTCCAGACCATGTCTTGACTTACAGAGGTTATACTCACTAAGTCAACACGATAGCTTTTGTACCATAATGCTAAAACATTCTCTTTTATCAAGTTCCTTGAAATATCAAGTTATTTTGAAGTGTTTGCTGGCTATAGCAACATTGCATTATTGACAATAAAAACACTTCAACGACTGTCAAACTGGTTTTTGAAAATGAGCAAAATTTTGGTTTTTGTATTAGAGCATTGTGATTAATTAGTTTGTGTTTCACAATTTTGAAGTGCAAATTACACAAGCTTTGTGGAGTGCAAATGATAAACCTTCAAATTGGTTTTAAAAAGCTTTTTATTGGACCCTAAAACAACCTCTTGGCTGATCTAAGTCAGGGCACGGCTAACTCACAGATCAAACCCTGACACAACCTATGATCGAACCCTGACACAACCTCCGGGCTAATCGTATCTAGTGATATGGCTAACTCACAGACTGACTTTGAATGTCAAATAGTATTTTTACTATTTTAGGTGATGTCAACTGTACTTATCTTACTATCCAACAGTGTGACTAAACTGTATGAAATCAAGTATACTGATATTTTTGCGTGATCATGTGCCAGCAGCCATGTCCAATGGCATCCCTTTACTTTTCGGAATTAAATTCTTTCTCATGTAAAATGATCATATCATTCCTACCATCTTACCTTGAAACCCTGCTGTCATTTGATTGCACAGCACCTCTCTTAACTTCAACTCCTTTTGTTAAATTTCATTAGTGAAGTTCAAAAAGCTGTCAACAAAGTTAGAGAACTGTATTCAAGGTGGAAAGAACTTTTAAATGATCCTCGTATGGCAGGAAGAGAAGAATATGATTGGACGACGAATGAACTGAAGAATAATATTCGGAGTATTGAATGGGACTTGGAAGATCTGGACGAAACTATCGGCATTGTGGAAGCAAATCCAAGAAAGTTTAATATGGATATATCTGAACTTAATAAAAGAAAGCTGTTTGTAAAGCAAACAAGAGATGACATGACCTCCATCAAAGAACATTTGAATAGTCCGTCGGCAAGAACAAAACTTGAGACTTCTACGAGACAAGTAAGTTCCTTGTTGCTATGACAACCGCTGCTTAACATTTCAATCCTCGGACCTGCTCCAATGAACGACTATTAATTCATATTGGAAATGCCAGAGAGTTATAATTCCCCCCCCCCCCCCCCCCCACAGTGTTTGAGTTAAAAATTCCTCCTTATGCAACAAAGCGGTGCAGTTGTAATTAATCCCTGCTAAGTCATTACCTGATATTGCTGGTTTTCAATCATTCCCAAGAGAATGAAATAACACAAGACACAGCGGGCATGTTGGATGATATAACAAAATAGACTAATGACGAATCTTTTGTTAAATTCATCCAACATGGCGGCTGTGAAAACCATCGATATGTGAGTGAGGAATTTCACTGGGTTTCATCACTATGAAAAAACCAACTTCTTTACTTACGTCAGCAGAGCTTCAAATAACAGCCAGACCTCGGACAATGTCCGGCCAGAATTAGAACTTAGTCCAGTCAAATCTTTGTCTTTCGTGTCATTTTGACCAGTAACATTGAGCCAGAACCAAGGTATGACTGAGCTAAAACTGATTTAGCCAATCATCATGACCAGTGACTGACTGACTGGCAATTATTTGAAGCCCTTATATAATAAACAAACCTAGTAAATAACCTAAAGGCAAGTGCTACGTCAGCAATGATGGTATTTTATGTAGTAACTATTATATTTTTCAGGCTTTACTTGGTAACAGAAATGGTAAACCTCAGGATAAATATTCACGTTTAGATCGAGAAATAGAGCGATCAAATCAAACATTTATTGATGATCAACAACAGCAACAATCTGTAAGTTCTACTGTAGGATTACAAATGATAATTTAGTATTGTTGTCATTGCTAGAGGCGATAGGCAAAAAGCGATAGAAGATAGGTCATTCTAAGATCCAATAATCACTGGAATGACTTGTTTCTGCTTCTTATTCTCTTCAAGAACATGGACCTGAGTGTTGAGACTGATTTGATGTTCCTTGTATTCAATGAAACCATTTCCATGACCTGTCGCCTATCGCCTTTGGTGATGACAACATTGATTGAAATAGGTCTATACACAGTGTATGACTCTCATGAACCACATGACGTGAATGATTGACGTGGGTTTCTTGACGTGTAATAAATAATAAATAGTAATTTATATGGAACCAAGGAAAAGTAAACAAGATTACATATTAAAATAACGTTGTATCATCTTCTTTTATTGTTATCAGTATGTTTCTTTACGGAACTCACTCACGCCTTTCTGGAAAAAATCAAACAAATAATTTTCTGATACAAAAATCGAACTTGGAGATGTGGCGACCCAAAAAAATATGGGTTTCATTTCGAAACCTAAAAAAATACGTGGCTGGTCTCTTCACCCAAAAAAATACCRAGAACGAAAATTGTCAACCCCAAAAAAATATGTCAGACCTCCAAGTTACCCACCCGAGTACACCCCCTGGACACTACAGCTGTATAGCTTTGAGTGGTGAGTTGAGGAGGTAGCTAAAAAAACAAGAACAATTCCTTAGAGCATCATATTTTCTTCCAGTTATTAATGCAATCACAAGATGAACAAATAGAAATGGTTGGACACAGCGTTGGCGTACTTAAAACCATGGGTAAAAAAATTGGAGATGAAATCGAGGATCAAAATTTGTAAGTGTACATTTTCTGTTTAAACTCTTCATTTTTTTCCAGTTTTATTTCTAATTTTTCTCAATGTTTTTCTCTCGATATTTGTGAACTGAAAATTTTTTGACAAACAGTTAGATGCTTTAGAAATGATTTGTTATTTTATGTATAGGATATTGGATGATTTTGGACATGAATTAGAGATGACAGACTCAAAATTGAATCAAGTTGTTCTAAAAGTAGAAAAAGTTCTTCGTCTTTCAGATGGTAAGTCTGATTTAATTATCATCATAAATATTTATCACAATTATCATTACCATTATCATCATGACTATCATCAGCACTACAACCACCATGACCATGATAACAACCACCACCAACTTTATCATCATCATCATCATCATAATCATCATTATCAACATCACCACCTTTACCATGATCACAACCACCACCACCATCATCATCAACAATATCGTCATCACCATCTTTATCATTGCGATCATCATATCACCATCATCATGATCATAAACTTCATCATCATTGTCACCAACATCATCATTATCATCATCATCATCATCATCATCTATTTCTGTCCCTTTCCCTGTTTGATTACCAGTAATTATTATCATTATTAATAAACTAGTTTTTTACATTTGTATTCACAGACAAACGACAATGTTATGTTCTCATATCACTAATAGTAATAATGGTAATTGTAATTATTTTATTTATAGTGCTGTGAAATAGAATCATATTAGCTATATCTAACTCTCATGAAATTTATTATTGTGTTATACAAACTCTAATATGCCAAGTTGGGAAGTGGGATGTGTCATTGAAACATATATATGCCTGTACGTTATTAAATGAAATTATGAATAATTAATCAGGAAATACAAATATTAAACAGACAGAAGAAGTCTAATTTGGATACAGCATTGTACAGATTACAGGCTATCAATTGTATCCGCATTTAACTTTAACATGGATTTACTTTATCAAACTTACTTCAATCTCAAAGCGTTTATAAGAACAAGGAGATTATAGACATTAATTTTTATAAGTAATACGGTTCTGTCCAAAAAGGTTGATGAAGGTTTTGTTGCATGCTGTGTGTTGCATATGTTACATGCTGCATGTTGTGTGTTACGTGTTACATGCTGCATGTTGCGTTGCATGTTACATGTTGCATGTTGCGTTGCRTGTTACATGCTGCATGTTGCATACCAAGCCTGAAGTGCACTATGGACAATGTAAATACAATCAACGAAAGTTCACAACAATATGAAATATTCCTATACTTTGTGTGCACGTCTTTTTTCTGGCATCATTTCTTCTATGCTGCCATTATAGTACATTTTCACAGCATGCAACACATCATGCAACAAACCCTTCACCAACCATGACTCTTTATTGGCTTCCACTTTAAAGCAATAAAATACATACCATCCAATCACAGTGCTTGACTCTAATATGGCTCCCACTCGTCTAATGAGTCTATTTTGGCTACCAGCCTGAACCAATCAGAAAGAACCAAAATGCATAGCAACCAATCACAGTGCTTGACTCTAAAATGGCTTTCACTCATTTCATGGCTACATAATGAATTCCAGTCTGAGTCAATCAGAGAGCACTAAAATGTATGCTACCTAACCACTTGCTTAAATCTAAAACGTTGATTCCCCTTGAGAAAGTAACAGCTTTACAAATGGTAGCCATGTTGGTTGATCTGAGAAGCGAAACTCATGCCAATTTTATCAATTCAGCCAACATGGCCGCCATAAGAACTCTTAAATATCCTTTGTAAATACAGTTCAAAACAGATTTGATGGAGATCATAAGAATAAAGAAAGGGTAGAAAATGGAAAGTTCCAGGTTTTTTATGTTCTTATTTATGTTTTATATATAACTGGTTAAAAATATTGATGATTTTGAATGACCATTGGAAGTACGTACTTAAAAAGATACGCTGATTTGGGGGGGGGGGGGGGGGGGGGGAAAGCTGAGGCTTCAGAGGGGAGGGTCGTCAGTAATAATTTGAAATTTTTGAAGGGTCAGACCTTCTTATTTAGCAACGAAAGCTGTTTCCTTGCAGAACACTAGCCACTATGAGGCAAGCGAGGCAGTTGCCTTGACAAAACGTCACAAATATCCCTCGCCCCCACTTGTTTGCCTCGGTAAACTATTCGGTCTGGCTACAGCCCTGCCTTGTTGACTTAATAGGAAGGTCTTGAATTGCTTACTGAGTGGAAGGGGGAGGGCTACTRCTATTGTAAAAGTCTACTACGAATCGCCCAACCCTCCACCCCACAAAAACATACCTTCCCTTCTAGATTTTACACATCTAGCATTGATGGTCTGGTGGTTTGTTTAAATCTTTGTAGTGTTTAAAAAAATAATAATAAAATGATTAAAACAAAAAAACAAAACAAAAACAAAAAACAAAAAAACAAACAAACAAAAACAGAGAAACGTCAAGGCTTGTAAATTCGAAATGGAAATTAAAGCATTGCTAAATAAGAATTTCGAAAAAGCAAAGCATTGTTTCCTACTTTTCATTGCATATCATTCATTCAAATCTAAAATTACCGTATTACATAGCCTTAAAGCAAAGAACGTGATTCGAGATGAGAGCAATAACGTATGATCTTCACTTAGGCTTTTAAATTCTATTCTTTTGCTATGTATATTAAGCGTTTTCCTCGGGAAAAGGAAAAACAATTCGGTCAAAGTACGCGCGCGACAGACTATTGTTCTAAGGAAATGTTTCTCAAAAAACGTCTTTAAGTGGTATAATTTCCTAAACGTTTTATCCTTCGGGCTGCATTTTAATGTTTTGGCATTTGGCTTATATTCTTTTTTAGAATCAGTTTGAAGTACCTTTTTTGTACGCAAACGTGCAGGCGTTATCACGTTTAAATACATAAAGAAACCYTTTTTCTTTTTAAACGGCACATGATATTAAACACAGGTTCTAGTGTGAACGGGCGTGAATACGAGCCAGCTGGGCGGCCTACTCATACTGTATTACCTCCAGTCAAAACTCTGTGCACTTCCGGCTTCAGACAACCGTCGTGGCTATCACATCATCACACTGTACTAGTGAATCGGCACGCCACACAAAACAGACCTATCCGATACATACATACAACATACATACAAGTGCCATCAGTTTTGAAACCCTAGCGGTGCGAAATATTTTTAAAGCAAGAATTAGTCAGTTTTGAGCCGAAACGACTGYTATAAGCTATTTTCTTTTACTCATACTCATTCTACACAGAATTTCAAATACAAATCCTAACATAGTTATCAATTTTATAATGTTATTGATATTTAATATTTATATAAAACCATACCAAGTCAAGAAAGAAAGGAAGGAAGGAAGGAAGAAAGGAAGAAAGAACAAAAATGGAGGATGAAAGGAAATTTTTAATCACTATAAGCCTCCGGAAAATATCGTACGGCTTTTCAACCTGCGGACTCGAGCAGGGCCGGACGGGTTTTTCCGGCCCGCTTACGTCAACCCGTCCGGCCCCCATCACGTGACTTTTTCCAATGGTTTTATTAGAGCGCGCGAGCAGGGCCGTACGGGTCATATGATAAAGTTCATTATTTATATATTTTGAATGATTGAAAGGTAGCGGCGGGGGGTTCTGGAACAATATCGGAACTAAAAATATATATTTCTTCATTAAAGGAAGGATTATTTGAGAGGAAGTAGAGTCTACTTCCTCTCCTTCCTTTAGTAAAGAAATAGATATTTTTAGATTGTGATATTACAATTCAGGAATGTGCGAGGGTAGTCACGTGTATTCTTCGCCTGTGGTTTGAAACTTTTAACTGATGAACTCGTGAGTGGTTTTTAAGATATGAAACGACTTCCCTTCCCACCTTCTGTCCTTGGAAGACAAAACACCAGTGTGTTAAGAAACCCGCTCAAAAGATGTCTTCTGTTAGCAAAATATTCAAATTTATTTCGATAAAAAGCCAGTTTTTTACTGAGGTCAAGCTATCAAAACATTAATTTTTTTTTAATCGAAAAAAAGAGTTTCTGTCAATTTTCTCTTATATAATCGTAAAGTTTTAAACAAACATTAATTTCCCAAAAATCCAGAGTGTTTTAGCTTTCTACTTTACAGCTTTTACAAAGTAATGCATGCTGACCAGCAAATTTTTCCTGCCAACCGTACCTCTTTTTGTAAAATTTCATGTAACTTGCCTCGCAACCACAGCGTTGCGACACTTTGAAGTTGCAAGACGCAATCGTTGCCAAAAGTAGAAAAGAATTCTACTTTTGCGGCACCGACTGCTGCAATTTGTCTTGCAACATTTCTCCCCTGTAGGTTACACGCTGCAATGCTCCATGCAACTTGTGTAGTAACGCCTTTGCGAGTACAAGTTGCAGAGAAAATTGCTAATTTTGGGATAGCGACAATTCGCTTCGTTTTGACGTTTCACAGTGAAGAGATCTCAAGCACGAAACAAAATTAATGCTAAATGAATGGTGTCCAACCGTCTACACCTGCCCTCACGATTACATTTACGCAGATTATTTGATTCTCGGTTAACTTAACGCGTCTTGAAAGTCAAAGACAACTCAGATACGTAGACAAACTAATTCAGCCTGGAGGCGGCTTAATCCAGTTTTTACGTTTAAGGAGCGATTACACGAAGCAATTTTCTCTAGTTGCAAGAGTATCTACGCTCAAGAAGTGTGAGAGGCAATCCCTACGGCTCGTACTTCTCCTAACAATTCTTTCGTGCTCACGTCACTTTCTGCGTGCTATTTTACTGATCATGAACGGAGCACAGAAAAAGCTGTCTTATTTGTGAAATAAATGGCATGGATTTTCGTAGTAGTATCTATAAATTTTGAAATTTCATTTTAATTATTTTATTGGATTGGGCTACCTGTGGCACGTGATTTCGCGGTAATAAAGTTTTTAAGTTGAAGCACGCACTTGAGAAGAAATACATRAGCTTTTCATTATTTACTAGTAATGTCATCGAACAAGAGTATACTATATCGAAATTCAACGATTCTTCAAACGTTCCAATTTTGTCCTCGAGTCTAGTTGGAGTTTATCAGTGACCATCCGTAATCATTCCCTAAAAACGTTCCAGACATTCACGTGTGCAGTTCAAATTTTCAGTCCATCAGCGTAGTTTTAATGAATAATCCAAGAGTCTTAAAATTGAGTATTACACGCCTAATAACCGCAACATTATTGGGCCGATTCCGGTTATCAGTAAGAATTGTACGTCAAACGAACTCATTAGAGCTGAGCCACAAATCAAGATCAGTCGACTGATCCTTTTTCTCAAGGCTGTGAGCATGCAAGAGCTATTTCGAGATATTTTTTTAGATTTCACTGAGTACAAGAATTTACAATGGCTTACTATGTCAATATGGAAGATATATATAGCGCAACACTTACGAAAAATCTTATAATTTTCTATTAGTAATGCGGGTTACTTATATATTTTAAAAAAGGTGAAGATAAGCGACTGTTCAATACGTGAATTTACAAAGCGCATTGCAAAAATCTTTGCGCGATGCCGGACTTACTATGCCGATATGGGAGAGAGCGCAACCCTGCTAAGAAAATCTTATAATTTTCTCTTGTTCGTGCGTCTTACATTGTAAATTATATCTTTAAAAAAATTTATTTTAAACGACCGTTTAGTACGAGAATTTACAATGGCGCGCAGCAAAAACCGTTGCGCCGTTCCGGACTTGCTATGCCGATATGGAAGAGAGCGCAACCCTGCTGTCAAAAAATCTTAGCATCATCTTGGTCATGCGGGTTGAATTACATTTTAAGTATAGAATTAAAATGGATCCAGACTAATAGCTAAATCCCCAACTCAAAACGATCAAGTACCCGGTCGACACCTACGCACGACTGAGAGCCGCTACTTATACATCCATCAAGGTACTTCGAGCACATTAGTAAGCATTCTTTGTGCTTTCACACTCACGGAACACAAAACAAGAAAACAAATTAACGTGTTTTRTCGAAGACAAAAACCTAGTTTCACTCGGAAGCAGTGCGCTCGACCCCCGCATACCTCTGAATGGCTGGCATTAGGAGAATATGAGATTGATCGGCCAATGAAAATATTAGTATTTAAGACCTTAATGATAACATTGTGTCTAGTCTGTATTGGTTTCTGTGTGCTAGTCCAAAGTCCAACTCCAAAAAGAAGAAGAAAAGGACAAAAAAAATAAAAAAATAAAAAAAAAATGAAAAACTGGAAGCAAAAGAACTTTTGAACTGTGAATCTTTGTTTATTTACACACATATAAATGTTTAAAAGTATGTATATATTATATATATATATATATATATATATAATACAATTTGAAATAAAATAAGAAATTTTTTGAGGAAAAGTATTATTAGTGTTGTTCATGGTACAGTGTGTGTGGTTGTCGAAATAGTGTAAACTTTCAAGTCGACAGCCAAGTCAAAACAACAAGTAGAAGGGGGGAAAAGAAAGAAAGGAAGAGAAAAGAGAAAAAATGAAAGAAAAACAAAACAAAACAATAAAGAAACAAATACAAGGAAGAGCTGCAAATGCAAAATCCCCCCAAAATATTATCGACTGCCATCGACTACCTCCTATCCGAACTCATTTCTAAGCCGGATTAAAATCTTTTCGTTATCATTTAATAACGCTAAATTCAAAACAAACAAATAAGTTTAAATTCAAATACAAATACAAACACTCGAAAATACAGATAAAAAAAGAAAAAAAGAWAAATAAGATCCTGAAAAACAGAGTCGCCAGACCAGACAAAAGACAATTTCGAAACTTATTCTACGTGGCCAGTGGGAAAGCTACTAATCCCACATATACTGGGTTTCACAAAAGCAAAAAAGAATCAGTATAGCCGAATTTTGTGAGAATGTTTTTTGCCATTGTCGAACTTAGAATGCAATACGGAATGCTTTCCTTCTGTTGTATTTTCGATTTCCGAAAATGCAACGTGGAAAAAGCAAAGGAAGTAAATTCAAAAGAAAGAGGAAAAGGAAACGAGTATAAAATCCAGAATTAGAAAGATTGAGCTCTCTSTGTGGAATCCATAGAAAACTGCGTGGTCAATTTAAGTTTTTGACCCTTTCTTTCAATTTCCATCCACCATAGCTTTAGTCTTTTGAATATGGTTTGAGACCTGAAGTTCAAACCCACGTACCTAAACGATTCGCATAGTCCAGCGAGAGTAAATATCATTCGCTTCCTTTAGAGCAATTGAGTTTATTTCACAAATATCCTTCTTATCTGCGGGCGTATAATAGGACTTCCCTAGCTCTATACTAAACGCAAAGAATATTGATCATGTAGTTGCCCGCTTGGTGTGTGTGTCTGTTTGTGGGCGGTAAGGCAGTTCAAAGATGTTCAATTATCGAGCCAGGCGTCTTTTCAAACATAACTAGCTTATGTATTTGTCAAATCTTATAGTTCTGTGTTAAATGCGTTGCCAAATTTTAAAATCACTAGGAAAAAGAATTTCCAATGATTTTTTCAGACTATTTGAATGACATCGCAAATGATTTTGAAATCGTTGGTTAACAATTGTGATTGAAAATATATACCGGATATTAACCGATTTGAATAAGCAGCAAATTCCCCGCTTGATAAGTTAAAGTCGATTCAAAAAAACAACTTCCAACCATCAATCTTTAAGATCATCTTGATTTGCGCAAAGACCTCGAAAGCACCTGCACTGATGAAATGATGAAGGTGGATGACACTTCGAAAACGAAGTAAACACCAGCCTTGTGATTCTATTAAGAAAATACATCAGCGCAAAAAAATTTCAAGTTAGTTTAAACACAGTTTTTATAAATAAAAACATGATCTACAAGCATATAGGACGTCCAAGCCAGAGTCGAAGGCAAGAGAATCCCAAAAAAAGCCACGTAATAGCCTCAGAACGATCCCGCCGCCATCACGCACTTCCGCGAATTTTCTGAAAGTCGGAAAAAAAGATCGTAAACCCGTTTTCTTTTTGGTGGCAGATTTCACCCGATTTATTCTAATCTTAATGTGTGTCAGAGAAGGATAAAATTTCTTTGGCATTCCGGCTCGACATAATCGCTCTTTACTAAATTTCAAACCTTCATTCTAGCCCTATAGCATTGATTAAAGAAAGTATCCCTCAGGTTTGACGACAGATCACACTATAAGATTTGACAGGAAAAAAAATCGCGTAATACAGCCTTTCTTTCGCAAGAAATCCCCGAAGACAGAATTCTTAAGCCTTGTAACCACGTTAATTTGTCAATGTATACACTCTTAAATTAAGTCAAGGGGAAAATAGAATATAATCAAAAGTTGTATTTTAAACAATTGCAAAAAATAAAGAATAAATTATAATGAGCCACAATGATTGGCTGAGATGATCGGAAAGTTAGTAAGTTACGCCTGCCATGACGTCATGGTGTATATTTTCTGCTCCATTTGACAACGACGGTTATTCAATGTTCGAACTTTGTTGAGAAGATCAAGAGATCAGTTGACAGTCTACATGCTTTGGAAAAAATACCTTTTGATTTAAGAATTCAAGGCATCAGAAAATCCTTTTTTTTAGGTAGAAAGAGCGTAAGATTTGACCGTGRATGGAGATGATGGAACATTCGATGGACGGTAGTCTTCGGCACCGTAGCAACCAAAAACGTTTAGGAATGAGCTTTGACGCTACTTCTGATGTATTAYCTACGAAAGCTAATAAGCTATCTCAAATGAATCCTTATGAGAGAAATAGTTTGCTGGATATTTCACGCAGACCTAGAAACGGCTTTTCGAAAAGTCTCGGGAATTTGAGTATGTTGGATTCGCCCCTTGGAAATCAGAAAAGAACTGTTATGTTTGAGGAAGATCTTCGAGCGCACGCTGAAATGCTTGAACGAGCGAGGTCGAGGTTTCGTGAACTCGAGCTGAAATACCCCGAGGTATTCCGTAATTCTCCTAGCACTGCATCTATGTCTTCCTTAAATATGTGGCGAGGATCAGGGACGGTTAAACAACCTTCTATTGAACTGACTATTGATCAGTCGATGTTTGAAAATCAGAGCCAAGAGCTCGAGGTCGGAGAGAACGATGGACTTGGCGATCTGTCAGATGTACCGGTGTATCGTAAACTCAGTTCTGGAGCTCAAAGAAGAAAGGCTCCGCTTCTCTCCTCTTCTATGAGATCTCATCACCTTGAAGACAGCTGTGATAGTGCATTCGACGAAATAGATAGGGAATCTAATCATTCGCGGACCTCGCATGAACGAAGCCCTACAGCCTCCAACTCGCGAACGTCTTCACGTTTCTTGTATCCAGGCGATAGTTTAGAGTCTGATAAAGACAGTGGAATATCGGCAGATCAGCCTTTTATTCCTACTCAAAAACCACCAATATATCCTAAACGTGCAGGTTTTACAATTTCCAATCCTGGGAATATTAGAGGAACTAAGTCTTTGAGCTTATCACAACCATCTCTGGCTTGTAAGAATGAAAGCGAGCCGGGAAAAAGGGTCGATCGACAGGGGATTCTAAAGTCAACAGCATTTAGAAATCAAGGTATTCGAAGTGAAAGTCTCGAAGCAGAATTCCCTCTAGACGACGTCAAATATCAAGCCCGAAAAAACCGCTTACAAGCATTAAGAACAGGTATTTAAGCTTATCTTTATTTTGGTCTGGTTCTCCATTTAGATTACAAAACAACAGCAGCATTCAAAAGGTTTTTCATGGTTAGTTTATGAAATGAATTGGTTTATTTTACCCATTTAAACCAATACAAGCTAAAAATACGCGTTCTAGGACTTTCTTCGGACAATTTTTTCAATTTTATTCCTACTTAGTAAATTAGGTTTCATTACCAATTAGAAAAAAACATTTCCACTTTTGACAGAAGAACTCGTAGAAATTTTCTTTTTGGAAACTAAATTTCAAACTGTTTTAGTAAACATGAATATACCTATTTCTTGGCTAAAAAATTGTAAATAATATTTAATTATGATAATCTAAAACAAATAAATAAGAGGCATCTAAGGGAAAAAGATTACAGCTGTATCAATTAACTTTCCCCCCCCCCCTCCCCAAATTTTAACCCAAGGGCATAATTTTTTTACGTTTACAATTTTTTTTAAAAATTTGCTTTTTTTGGGGTTCAAAGGCCAAATAGATAAGATTTTGCAAGATTAGGACAATAAGAGGAACAGAATCCGGCTTTTCTTGACCTCTGGAGGGCGTTTCTTTGTTCCCCAAAGAGGTTTTATATTTTTAGAATGTTGCTTGCGAATGAGTAGAAATATCGAAGATTTTTATACGGAAATTCTTTTGGAAAATTCTTTCTTATACATGAAAACTCTCAAAAACCATAGTTAAGGGAAGTGGAAAAAAATGCTTGTTGACATTATGGTTCGAAACGTGAAAAGTTCATGGAATTTCCTGTTCAAGTTTGGTGATTCTTTTCTTTGACATGATTGAACAGCTTCGACAGTGAATCGTAAACTAACATTGTTGCCAGCGCAATGAATACTGATCAATTTAATAATTGTGGGTTTTTATAAATAATAAGAGTAATTTGAGAGAATCAAATAAATTTACTAGAGATAATCTAATTGTTGTTTTTGAGCTGAAAGCTTTATAATTGCTAGTCAAGTCCTGATGAAAAATAATTTGAGCCAAAAATGATTATAAAGTAATAATTGATTTTTTTCAGGATTCACATTTTGGAAGTATAGAAATCAAAATTTTACAAAATATTTTGATTTTTTCCGTGATTCTCTTGGACTTAAGGACTTAAATTGAGACATAAATAGACCCTAATAGTCACTCATGGGATATTTTAAGCTCTCAGTGGTAGATTAAAGTGAAAAAACAATACATATTSAACCAAAATTAATTTCCTGTTTCCTGAAGTTGATGATATCAGTTAGGAAACCTCAGTTAGCATAGAAAAGTGTCTCTTAAATAACTGAGAGTCCTAAAACTTATTTCTGCTATTTAAAAAAATACCTTTTTTTACTTTCAAACATTAAAAGTTCAAGGCAAATTAGTGGAAAAAGCTGGTGGAAAAAGTTGTATACCTCAAGAAAAACGACTTATAAATCCATCAGGAAAATACTAATGAGACATGAAGATATMATATTTCAGGAACCTTTTCTTGTAGTAGCTATATTGAGCATGCTWCTAAAAATATATTTCCAAATTAGACTCTTCTAACACCAACATTATCTTCGCGAAAACAATGGCATAATTATCCAGCTTGTGRCTATAAATGATTTAAGAGAAAATGATAAATTGATGGACAATAATGGTAACCTGAGACTTCTATGAATTATAGGTGATAAACATTGTTTGGATAAGCTGAAGACTAATAATGATCTTAAATAATTAGTTAGTTTATTTTGGGCCTTTCTGTTTTAGAAATAAAGTAAAATGCTGCACTTTTACAAAATTTCTTTGATCTAGATTACTAGCTTGTAGCATTAAAAAACAGTGTTGAATTGGCATTCACACTGTGTGCAGAATCACTGTTCAATAGGGCAATTATTATTGTAACTTTAAGCAAAAATAATAAGATCGGTTCGTATAATCCTCATAGCAGTTAAACAGAATGCAATGTTTGTCCGAATCTTTAAGCTATTTTTAGAATCAGCACACTGCGCTATTTTAYTATTTTTAGTTAAAGTTACAATAATAACCCATGTAAACTAAGATCAACTGGATCGGCTGTGAAAATTATCTGCTGAAAGTAAACTTGTAAGTTTGTTTGCCCGAATTCCGCCTTTGTCTTCGTTTTTATGACGTCACGACTGCGCTGCGCTATTGGTTCGTATAATACTCGTAGCGGTTAAACAGAATGCAATGTTTGTCCGAATCTTTAAGCTATTTTTAGAATCAGTGYGCTGCGCTATTAAAGTATGACGCCCAATCCCATGCATGTTGAGTCTTAGTTTCAAATACTCTTAATCTTACTATATTTGTACTTCATGTTTGAAAATTAATCAATTTTCACAAATTGCTTTAATTAGATAATAAAAGAAAACAATGATTTTACTTCAGTCAAGGTTATACWTTTGCCCATCCCAACATTTCGTAATTAAGTTAATTCAAGCGTTAGCTGTATTTTGTCATAATCAGGGCGYAAAATTTTTCAAAAATATATTGTTAAAAATATTATAATCATGACAATAGCAATAACAAAATCTACAGGTATCTGTAAAATCAAATTATCGAGATTACATTATAATTTTGTCCCTTAGTTTTAATCTCCAATCAGTACTAGACAAGGTCATGTTCCTTGCAAAGAGGGACTATTAATATATATAATAATATATGATATTATAATTAATCAAAGCTTGTTTGTTTTACTTCAGGTTCTGATGTCTACCGGCGAAGTGTAGAAAGCTTAGATGACATTGAATCTGATGCTGATACAGTCTACAGCATAAGAAGTGAAATCATAGTAAGACCAAAACTCTCTGCTCGTCAGCTGTACCTTAGTACATATGGCCTTGATAGAATCAACGAYGAAAATGATTGCAACAAAAATAGACTATGTAAAAGCCGAAGCTTACCAAATCTTGGGTTTTCACAGTCATTACATGATGATACACCTGGCTTCAACAGTGGGGGTCTAGTGTGTGATAATCCGAAGAAACGAAAGAAGCGAATTCTACAAAGATTTGGTCGAAGGTCAGGACTTTATGTAGTCAATGATGTACCCACAACTGACAAACCTAGACTTCCTTTTGCATCGTCCAGCTCAAGGAAGAAGAGAAGGTTGAAGCTTAAGAAAGCAGCATCGCTCGAGCCATCTCATATTAATGAATCAACCAAGGTGTGGTTTGATCACACAACTGCTGTCAGTAGGCCATCAAATGGACACGTCTTGGGCCGTATTATCACCATGCGTGAAGACATAGGGATGGCTTACGAGATTGAATTACAGCGACCAAATAATGGTCTTTTTGGATTCTTCATTCAAAAGGGCTATAAACACTTTCGAAGGGGGATCTTCATAAGTAGAATTATGGATTCAAAGGGTGCCAAATTTCTGGCCGGTCTTCTTAATCCAGGTGACGARGTGATAGAGATCAACCACCAAAACACAAAAACTAAGACTATTGCAGAGGTACACAATATAATGGCTAACTCTGATAAGTTGACATTGACGATTCTTCCTTATATTGGCCGCAAAGACTGGTAAACACTACAAGATGATCTACACTTAAAGGTGCAAGTTAAATCACAATGCATGGCCCGCCGATTACTAGCATTTGGAGATAGCATGGCCATTTTGAATCGAAAGGTTTATAGCTTCCTAGCATTTTGAATTTCAAAATGAATTTCAAGCTAGTTGTTACCAGTGGTGTCAGGGCTGAAATGTCGTTGAGTAATCCCACAAAATTTACACGACAGTTAAACTATTTTAAACATTGCTAAAAAAGACTGGTTTCATTCACATTCATATTTTGAACGAGCTCTACGCTCTTGGACAACACATGATTAAATAAACTATTATTATTATTATTTCATATTTTATTTATATAGCTAGCTGGAGACTGTGGATTCAAAAATATTATGGAAATATTTTCCTTCTAAGCTTGACTTGAAATATTTCATTGCCTCTCAGTTAAAAAAATGCTATCCCTTTTACTCTGTTGCTTAAACTATAATATTAATATAATCTGCCATCACTCCATAAATAGTTAGTTTTCGTGTGCATGTAAAAAGTCATTTTGATTTTTAGTTKTAGCTTTTATAAAGTTGGTGTTAAGGTGATAATTTAAAAATATCCAAATCACATAATTAATATCAAAACTATAGCTTGATTGTATTTATATAAAGGTCAATTAATTTACATATATTTATTTATTATGGTAGTTTTGGATCTGAAAATTAATAGACAAGCTATAGAGTTGATAGGTTAATATTTGGTGATGTTACATTTTGTATTTGGCTTCTCTAAAACATCCATACTCTTGCATAATTCAATAATACGGAAAGGCGGAGTTCACTCGTGCACAACTTTTTCCCGCCAAGACTCAGTAGTAAACGCAGTCAGTGACAAAAGTATGGGTAAAGTGCGAGCTTCTCGTGTGCTTTCAGAAGTGCAATACTGCTGAACAAAGCATGAAACAAGTGAATAAATTATATAAAACAAATGCAAAGTATGCCAGTTATTTTATGAAGCTATATGTGTGTATTGCTTTTATCGCAGTTGAATTTAATATACCTGAAACGTGTAACTACACATTATATTAGATAAAATGGTAACTTTGTACAAATTTTTTGATTGAGTTAGACTTGTTGAAAAATTATATATCAATATAATTATATCRTCCAAAATATTAATGCTAATTAATAATTCAATGAAGGCCTTAATTAATTAACGCCTATAGCAATTTCTTGAATTATCAAAATTTCACCAATAATCATGGTGCTAGTCAATGACATTTTGCACCTGAATATTGATATTGTATGTCAAGACGTTTCATATTGAACAGCAACTACTGAAAACTCAGAAAAATAAATTTTTATATTTTTSATTAAATGAATATTATAATCTATAATAATTATTTCTTCATAGTTAAATATTATAGCTGTACACTTTATTTCATTAGGTAAGATTTTTTGGTTACTAATATTTTAGTGAAAGTATGACTTGCATTATATTTAATACTGAATGTGCTATCCAGAATTTTTTTCCCCGTACCATTGCTTTTCCTGACTCTTTTGACCTTTATAAACTTCAAGATGAACAGTTTTTTGGCCCTTCCACCCATACACTATGATTTCAAGTAATATATAACACAGACTTTTGGAAATTTGATGAAAGCAAAAATAAGAGAAAATGCACAGCATCTCAGTCTGCAACTTGAATTTTCTAGGTCAAAAAACATGAAAAGCATATTTAATCTTAATTTTATATTGGCATTGGTACACTAATATTTAGAACTGACAAATAATCAGTTGTTAAATATTCCATCWTACAGTTGCATTCAGTGAACACGAATAATAGTTCTCAGCCAAGGCAGGAGTTGCTGAGCATGATAAACTATAGTTTTGCTATGYGCTGCATTTCCAACYTGGAGRTGAAACTATTATGTGTATTTGTAGTCACTGAACGCAACTGTTAAATGGAGGATTATCTTCTTCCCTTCAAACATAGGTTATTTATTCCCCATTCTGTTATTAAAGCTTTTATTTTGATTCTCTAAAGGAACCTATTTTGTAGGTTTGTTGGGTTTGTATTAAATTAGTACAAAACTTTATTATTGTAAAGAAAGGAAAACTTGACAAGAAAGCTTGATTGCCAAAAAGCGGCAATTACTTTCACTTAAATGAAAACTGAAATATAGTTGAAACTTGTTTTTTCTTAATTTGTTTTGCTTTTGTTCATTCAGGTGTTTGTTGCTCAAGGGTTGATGGTGGTGTGGGGGTGGGTGTGTGGGTGGTTAAGTATGTTGAATCAATGGTTTCTCAAGTGCAATCAATCTTACAAAAACAGTTAAATTTAGCTTGAAGAAAGCCTATCGAAGCCTAGAAGCRAACTTAAGGAAATTTTGTTTGTTTGCATTTGCTTAATTGTCATGCGCTCTAGTGAAAGTTGTTCATAATCTCTGATAATTGGACCTATGCTWATAAATAATAATCTTATATGTAGAAGAAACATGGTCTTATTTCAATGAAACAGCAGGTCATAGGCGGTAGCGCCAGAGAGGAATAGAGCGCTCCACAAGAGTTTTTGGGCGCTTAGTCCCTGCTTTTTAGAGTAGTTTTGAATTTCCCTATTGCATTTTGCTTTAGCTAGTTTGATTCCTTCTAACCCTTCCCCTTTCTCCATCTTTCATTTCATTCCCGTGGCCACTGTAGGTACAACGTTTTAAAATTGAAAAGCTTCACGAGGAGCTATGCTGAAGAAAACATTCAACCCAGGGGGACCAGGTTTGTGTCATCGCAATCTATGTGGAAGAGGTTCTGGTTTGCTTTGGGTTACTTCTGATGACCCTAAAGACTAAGAATTAAGTGTGTATTCTGAGAAAAAATATCATGTGGTAACCTGGGGTCCACATATTATAGAACCTCTCGAGCCCAGGGTGGAAGCCGGGATATTTTATAATCATTTAAACAATTACAATAAAATGGAAAAAGAACAGCAAAACTACAAATATTTATTTTTCAGGGCAATATTTTGTAAAATATTTGAATCTCAATTAAAGTTGGTGGGGAAATTAAGTGGGAAGTACTCATTTATCTATCGAAATTTTTTATTTTTTAATGATGTCATATTTGACAATAAATTCAACTAAGAATTCTTATTGTAATATTTCTAAATATTTTCATTTTCCCCTGCTACAGTTAAACTAAGTGTGTCATAGCATTCATGGYAGTGGCATTCTGTACTTTTGGATATGAATGGAAGCCATAGCATTGATGTGGTTTCCCATTGATTTGTGCACACAAATGGTATGCCATGCACAGTGCTGGCTTCTTGTATGTTTTGCACATAAAAGGTAAACCATGACACTGAAATGGCTTCCCATGTTTGACATAGTATGGGATGTCAGAACACTAAAATGACATAGCACTGAAGCAATTTCCCATCCACAACACTGAAATGGCTTTCACACCTTTTGTACAGAAAAGAAAATGCAAGAGCAGTGAAATGGCTTCTGCACAGAAATGGAATACCACAACACTGAAATGGCTTCCATTTGGTATGATTGTTAAAATACACTAAATGCCTTTCCAAATTCAATTTTGATTCCTTGTTTCACTTACTTGAAGCTATTTCCATTTTGTGTGAAGAGAGYGATTTAACAGCAATACTTTAAAAGAATGATGTATTAAAATATGGATGTGCACTTGAAAAAGAATCTTATTCTCAAGAGGATGACAAGTGGTCTTTAGYGAGAACATTTTCCACCCACACTGACTCCCATCATTTTGATAGCATATTYTAACCATCACATTTTTGATGTTTATTATATTTAATACTGTTCTTGCCATAACAAAATAAATATTCAATAAATACACTTCCAAATACTGCCTTCTAAGTCAAGCTAAACTTGGATTAAGTCTAAGAACACAAGTGTATTAATCTAAATTTTGTAAATCAGAATGATTCTTCYATTTTTAATAGAAAACTTCTCACATTCATGCTAATAATCATAATTATTTGAAATAATCTTTAACATCAACTASTTTTAATTCTTGAAATCAATTTTTAAAACCCGTGATTTTTACTATGTACAAAAATAAATTCGTTTTTATAATCATAATCATTAATTTTTGAGCAAAAAATGCCAAAAAGGACATGATACTATGGCCACTAGGTTATAAATAGAATGTTTYTCTCCTGGGAAATTAAATATTGGGGGGATTTAGATTGGTCATTACCAAGACTTAAATAGCATGCCTGATTAATACCTATGCCTAGGTCTATTTACTATAGGTTAATAATATTTTGACTCAGGAAAATGTAAAATGAAGATGTTGTGGTTGATGGCCTAATAGTCCCCATGGCACGTTTAAATTGCATTGATCCCTGTGGCAGACTATATATAAACATCACACAATAATYCTGATATATTTGATTACAAAAAGACTGTTGCAGCAATTAATCATAAATTTATTATGTGAGATGGGTCACGTACGGGAGAACTGAAATCTATTTTAAGAAGTGGAAATTATTTCTAGATCCCTCAAGACATTCAAGGAAWAAACTTGAATGATATTAAAGATGGTTACTTGGAAACCAACAATTGATATTCAATAATACCCTTAGGGGTAGTTATAATGATACATGAAAGTTGAATATCATTACCAACTCGTATATCAAACTCTTATCTCTGTTGAAATTGGTATCAGAGAATATTATAAAGCTCTTAATAGCCCATTTGTMGATCTGATGATTACTAATGTCTCAAATTCTTTAGGCTAAGAATAGAAAATTTTTGAAAAAACCAGAGATTTCTGAGGTTTCTGAAGCCTCAAATTGTAAATGAGTTTCAAAATATTGATAATAAACTGTCATACGAGTGTATTGTGTAATGGGGCTATATTGGATGATGATTGAATTAAGCAGCTGAGTATGTAGTGAGAKATAATTAATATAATATTATTCTTTTTAGCAGTCTAATGTCCAAAGACAAGAAGTTTTGTCAGCACTACTACTGACAAATGCCATTAAATATGGATGCCATCGGCACTGAATCACCTTGTCCTTGTGTTGTGCTGCGACAGAGTACGGAGGGATGTTGCACTCTAAGTTATGTTGCATGTCCAGAAGAATAATACTAGTGTCATAAGAGCCTGTTAATARGTAGCGCCCGTTAGGGGAAAACCGCACAGACCTGCAGTCTAAGGTGTGCGGTTTGAAGAACTGTAAAGTTCTGCCTGCCGTGATGTCATAGATCATACATCCTCCATCCTCATGGCCTACGATGGATGAATAAATAAAGGAAAATAAAAATATGGTATATTGAAATAAGGCCAAAATAAAAATATGCTGAAATTAGTTTTTTTGAAACTAGTGGGAATATGGTTATCATTAATAATTAGGCTGCGTGCATGATGTATGGCAGGGGGGGGGGGTGTCCAGAATAATTCTTAATACCCCCCTTAAAGTCATGCAAAAAAATACGATCCCCCTAAGCAAGTTGTAGCTTCTTCCAAAAATTGTGCATCCCCCCAATTTTTATGATAAAAATTTGCCCATCATCCCCTTTTTCCTACCAAAATTTTCCTGATCCTCCCTCAATTTCACCTGTCCCCCCTTCCTCTGCCATACATTATGAACACGGCCTTAGTACTATGTAACCTCAGAAAAATGCATTGCACTTCTTTCCCATGTTCATCCCCAATTCACCATCATCATTATAATTGTTATTATTATAAATCAATCAATTTTATAGCATATCGTACCTGACGAGAGCAAACGACAACTAGGACTAACACAGACAGATGCTACACAGCTCTCCCCAGTAGCAATGACGTCAATACATCTCTGCGACCTCAGGTCCCACAGACGGACCGTGTTGTCATTGGATCCTGAGGCAATGATGTCATCCTTGGCAGCAAATACACTCATGATGTGGCCTGAGTGGCCTGTTAGCTGTCCTATGGTGTTACCAGTGCTAGAGTCTGATATGAGTATGTTACCATTCCCTGTCGGCAGTGCAAACAATATTAGGATTTTCAAAACAGAAGCTATCAAAAACTAAGTACATTAATTCTTATCTCATACTACATTGAAAATATAGCCAATCAGAATGCAAGATAGCTATTGTATATTCGGCAGTACTCTTCGGTTGCTTTCCATCAGGCATTGCCAACTAGGTTTATTTTCAATAGTGGGGAATAATATAGTCATAAAATGCTTTCTCATGACACACCATGAAACATCCCACTAGTTAGTCACAAATACTTGTATTTTTACTTCAGATAAGTAAGTAAAAAAAGTAAAGAAAATAAGAGCGTTTCATTGGATAGTCTATGGTATACCATGCAAACGCATAGTATAACTTACTAATATGTTTCAGAAAATCATTATTATTTCATTTCCCAATACAACCAGCCAGGTAATTAATTACTGGGTAAAGGTTTTGAAATTAGGCTTTTAAAAATGGTTACCCTGAATGCGATTTTGAACCTCAAAAGTGGATGGTCTGAAAATCATAACTTTTATYACTTAAATCTGCAAAACTTTTAGGAGATAAAGGGGGGAGGGGTAGTGTTAACTTTACTAACCTGCTCCTCCTGAGACAATCACATTGGATCCCCCACTGCGTGACGCAAAAGCCAAGTCTCTAACAGTACCACTGTGAATATTCATCTCCATCTCAGGTCCAATCTGAGTACAGTTCTCAGCATCAAAGTGAAGCACCTTAATGCTTTTGTCATTAGACCCAGTTGCTACGAGATCACCAGAGTTGTTCCATGCTATGCAGTAAATAGARCCCTTGTGGTGTCGGTTACGCTTGAATAATATGGTAGGCTGAGGTGAAATCAAGTCACTTGCACTGAAACACAACATTGATTGAGAATTCAAATTTGTTATGCCCTCTACTCTGACATGTACCCAATGAATTAATTATACAGCTTCTCATTAATCCCATATAGGTAACTGTCCAATTATTTTCTTAATTGGACAGGTCTTGTTGATATGGGATTAATTAGGAAGCTATATAATTAATAGGTAATGGGATTTCATGCTCCCCAATCAAGAAATAATTAGACTCGAAAAATTCCTCCGACTGCCAAATTGGACTCGGCCTACGGCCCCATCCAATTTTGGAAGTCCTTGGAATTTCCTCGTCCAATTATTTCTTAATTGGACAGCATGGAGTCCTATTACATACTAAGTGTTGCAAAAGATTGGCATAGGAATCACTGACAGTAGTGATACAGTGAATGTTTTAACAATACTTCAGCATTGTCACCCATATTTGAAGGACAAAAGCGTTAACCTAGAAAGAGTGCCAAATCTTATAATAAAGAGGCTACTAAAAGCCAAAAAAAACTTAAGCACCAAATAAGCRTTGGTCAAACCTACCTTTCCATTTTCTTGTAAGAAGAGAGACCAGAAGCTGAACACACTCTAAGAGTTTTAGAATTAGAACCGATTGCAAACAATTCTCCAGAAGGATGAAAGGCAACTGCTCTTATAGCTTGTACATCTTCTAAACTTGCTACATTACAGAACCTAATAGGCTCTGATGTGGATGCTAAGTGTTCTCTCTGTTTTTCCATCAACCTGGTTGTTTCGTTGMTTTTTGGTTCAGATACGTTGGGAGGTAATTCTTGGTTTGTAGGTTTGTGGTATGTCAGGTTGGCAGTGGTACTTGGCGTGTCTGTAAATATTATAAATGGGATGAGATCATACTTTGATGGACAAGCTGATCTATGAAAGGATGGAAGGATGGAGGGATGGATGGATGGATGGATGGATGG